TGAGGCCTCCCTCCGGTCTCGCGGAGGGCGAGGGCACTCGCGATGCCAGTGACCTTTCTCCTTGCAGTTGTTGTGGCACTTCGTTATCTTCATGAGCTTCCTGCGGTGCGCATCTCCAGATCTTGCTCCCCGATCTCCCGGCTCGCGTCGTCCCCCGCTGCGACCCGGCCGAGCGTCTCGGCCCTTGCCGCGGCTGCGGCCCTTACCTGCACCGCTGCGGGGACGAGCGCCATAGTACTCGCGGTCCTGCTTGGCCGCTCGCTTCAAGTCTTTGTTCTGCTTCCAGGTACGCTTGACCTGTCTCTCCATCTGCAGATATACCTCCTCGGCCTCGCCCTCGGAGATGTCTAAGTCGTCGATCTCCGCCAAAATGGCCTGCGCGTCGCCCTCCGACAGGTCGTCGTCGGAGTCGTCATCTCCCTCCTCGGCATCTTCATCGTAGTAGGAGTCGTCTCCGGCTTCGTCAGCCCCTGGGCTGGCCGCCGGGAACGACTGCTGAGGGTAAGACGAGGGAGGAGGGGAAAGAGTCTGACCGCCCGCGTTGTCTCGACCGACTTCTGCGGCGAGGACTGGATGCGAGCTTGACCCAGAAGTAGCTTCTCGCCGCTTCCGTAATCTAACTGTCTCAGCGCCCACTATACCTGATCGTAGTCAAGGCTGCCGCGTGTGAGCGTCCTCAGGTTTTGCTGTCCTTGTGCCGACAATACGGCACCTTCTTCCAATAGAAAGCCCTTCAGCTTGGTCGACATCCAGATGTCATGGGTCTCGGCCTCGGCCAGCTGCTGATCACGCCTGATGACGAACTGCGTCAGCGTCTCCTTAGACTCTCGCGTGCACTCGAAGAGCGCTCGCCTTCCGGCCCGCCTGAGGTCATCTCCCTCACGCTCGCCCGCCATGACGTCCATGCGGCGCAAGACCGCATCCAGCCACTGTCCGCCGGTGATCACGTCGTCGCTGAGATCCTCGAACTTCGCCTGCATGGCCCAGTCGAACCCCTTCATCAGCTTCTCGTAACGACGCCAGACCTGGACATCCGTGCCCTGGTTCCAGCGCAAAATAAACTTCTTCCACAACCTGTAGTGGGCCCAACCAGGCCACGAGGGAGGGTCGGAGAAGTCGCCCTTGGACCACTGGCCCGACGACCATTCCTGGCCTTGCCACTCCTGGCTGGGCCATCCCTGGTCGCGCGGCCGCCACTCTCGCTGCTGCCAGCTCTGATCCTTCCACTGATCTGAGCCGTCCTTGTCGCGCTTCCAAGGGTCCGTGTCCCCCCACGGGTCCTTCTCTTCTCGTTGCCCACGCGATCTCGAATCCGTCGAGCCTGCTGCCTCGCCGATAGTGTCCCTCACTATCTCTCTGACCAGGTCGCGCAGCTGCGCGCGGAACTGGTCCCCCTGCTCGGCAACAGGCCCTCCTGACCCGGCGGCCTGACCGGCAGCGGCCGCCGTAGCTGACGGTGGCTGCTCGGTGCCGCCCACTGTCGCGTAGACACTGTCCTTGTCGTCTGCTGGCATACTCACGCCCGCCGTGGATCCACGCACTGCACGTCCTCGGAGGAACGGCAGTCGCCTGGCCTCTCGAGCGGTCCCCGGCGCCACCGCTCTAGCGGCGCCTGGGTCCACCCCCGCCGGCCATGGCTGACCACCGCTCCGCTACCAACTGTGGCAGCAGCGAGATGAGCGGATGCTTTTTGTCTTGAGCCAAACCGGCAAACGACAGTACTACCTTCTCTAACTGACCTCTGTGTCTGAAGCAAGCGAGTCCCCACTCGCTCCCGTGACATGATCAACAGAAAAAATCATTAAGCTAAACCTACAATACCGACAACAGGAACCCTGTCACAATAGCATGGCGTGGCATTGCGCAGTGAAGCATTGCATCACAAACCATTGCAACGCAAAGCACGACATCGCACAGCGGCGCACAACAAAACACCGCACAACATGTCATGGCAAGGCGCCGGGTTCCGTGGAGGGTAAATGGGTCGTCTTCGAGAGGTCTGGGCCGGTCTGGTGTCGCGGCTCCATATATAGCTCCTTGGGCTCCCCAAGAAGATCCACACAAGGACGGGCTGATGCAGAGCATCCGCTGGCTATGCTTTCAACACAGCCTTTTCAAAACAAAAGCGGGGCTCCCGCTTGATACTTCCAGAAAACGACGACGCCCCAAAGTGAGGGGTGGGCTTCGGCCGGAGGCGCAGAAATGGGGCCAGCGCTTCAAAGGGAACGACATGTGGACAAAAAACCAAGAGACAATCCAATTGCTGGGAATCCGGTGTAGCAGAAACATACGCGGAGGGGGAACATATTTTCCGGACGTCATCACGGGAGAAAGGAGAGTAGTATTCGTATTGTGTGAATGTGGAGGAGGAGGAGGAGGAGGAGGAGGAGGAAGAGGAATGGCGACAGTTGGGCAATTCGCAACCACGCAGGGAGCCGCGAGGCCACAACAGGGTACGCGTACCACTCTCCCCCGCTGGACCTCCCAGGAACTCGCGCACGTGGCGATATTTGCGCAATTCGCAACCACGCGCAAAGAATCGCACGGCCCCAACTGGGCCCACGTACCACTCGCGCGACCTCCCAGGAACCCATGAAAGTGGCGACAATTGCCCACTTCGCAGCCACGCAGGGAGCGGCGAGGTCCTTACTGGGCCCGCGTGTCACTCCATTCGACTGGACCTCCCAGGAGCCCACGGAAATGGCGACAGTTGGGCAAGTCGCAGCCACGCAGGGAAACGCGAGGCCCAAACTGAATCGGCGTACCACCCCACTCCGCTGAACTTCCCAGGGACCCGCGAACGTGATGTCAGTTGCGCATTCGCTGCCACGCAGGGAGCCGCGAGGTCCCAATTGGGTCCGCGTACCGCTCCACCCCGCTGGAACTCTCAAGAGCCGACGAACGTGGCGACAGTTGCGCATTTCGCGACCCTCCAGGGACGCGAGCAGAACGAAGGAGAGAAGGGAGGAAGAAGAGAAGGAAGAGGAGACAAAAGGCAGGAAGCTGGAGGCATGAGGCCAGAGGGGGGATGAGGGAGTGGCGACTACAATGCTCTATGTTCAAATGGGAACCCGGCACAAGAGGATGGGGGGCAACAGCGCCGACCATAGGCCCCCGTCGCCTCGCCCTCGCAGCCCCTGTTCCCCGGGCCCCCCGACGCGCGCCAGAAGGGCACACGCTTGCACTGCGAAGGAAAAGCTTACCGATTTGGCGACAAACTAGCGCTCGGTGTCGCCGTCCTTTTTCTGCGGACAGCCAAAAACTGAGCGAGGCCGTCGCCAAATCGGCGTCGGGGGGGGGCCAGGAAACGGCGCCATCATGGGCGGAGCGGCGGAGAAGCCAGAGTCGGCGCCGCTATTTTCTCAGCTGCTCCCAAAAATTATAAGGGCATTCCCGGCGAGTGTGGAAACGTCATTGGAACTCTGGGGCCACTCCATAATTCATGTATGTTCGAATCATCGCCCACGCCCACCGCGTCTTCGCCCCTCCTCTCAAATCGCACCCGGGCGCGCGCGGTCGCGCGTGGCGCCCGAGACCTCCTCGACGCACTTCACAGGGCGTGGAACTGCCCAGCCAAGGGCTGTTTTGCCCAGCGCACTCTGCCACGATTGCAGCGTGCCGTGCGCGAGAACACCCCGCGAACGGCGACGGTGCGCGCCGCCTCAACATGGCGCGCGCGACGCACTCTTGAAACCAAAATCTGGAGAGCCCGGAGCCGCCGACGGAGCTGCCGGCGCAGGGAGGCGCATCGCCACCAAGGGCCAACCGAACGTGGACATTGGCCACAGCACAGAAGGTGCGCGGAACACAAAACCTTAGCCTCTGGGCTTGCAATGACAGCCATCCACCGCGTTGGAGGCGCAGTCTTCTGGAATGTTCTCCAAGTGCGCCGCCCTCCGCCCCAGACTCTGCGCGGCCCAGATCACGCGTCGAAGTCGGCGCCGAACGCAACAGCGCCATTCGACATCTGATAATCGCGCGCGAATTCGAGAACCTCGACCGTAGAGAAATCGGAATCTTCATCAGGGCTGGCTTGCGGAACGCACCTTGAAGCGACGAGGGACGTTTTGTCGCGCGCCGCGGCGCGACTGCATGTGACCCTTGGTCAGAAGGACCTGGGAGATGGTGAATAGTGCGTGCGCGTCGTCGACGCATGGCCACAGCGCAGCCTCGGCGATGTGCATGGCCCGGCGCAGCGAACACCGAAGACCTCCTGCAGCACAGGGGCGCCACATTCGATGTCGCTCACAAAATCCAGGCGTGCATCCGAATTCCCAAGGCTGACCACGCAGCAATTGAAAAAGGCTTCGCTCAAATAGTGAATGTGCTTCTCGCCCCATACCCTGGTAGTCAAATCAGGCGCGACATGATCGAAACTGCTTGGCATCCTCCTGTGGTTCGGTGGTCATCTCTGCAAAGGCCATGTCATCAAGGGTCTGAAGGTCGGCCTGTTGTAACTCGCGCGTGATGCTGTCCTTCACCACGACAAAACCACCCAGGCAATTGGTCTTCGCAACAACGGGCCAACGACCAAGAGGACCAGGGAAACAAACCTCATGCGGGGGGGGGAACAGTCATGAACTTCCTGCTCGAATGTTCCTTCTTGAAGATGGCCACCATGTTTACAAGCATGGATCTTATGGTCCGTTGCTCGACCGACTGGTGCTTAACCCACAGGTTGAAAGTCGGTCGGGGAAGTGGGCCGTGAGGGACAGGTGTCACATAACGAGCTCGCCCCTGGTCGGCTCGCTCGCAGGCGTCACGTTCAGATTTTTTCGATGCTTGGAAAGAAGAGCCCACACCGCAATATACTCCCACACGAAGAAAGCAACATGATTCCGGGGGCTCGCATACCAACGCCTTGTCACGGCGCCTGGTCCTACAACGGGCTCTGACACCTCCAAGCATAGCGACGATCTTCAGCGCATCGTCGCCGTGGGAGTCAGCAGGTCCCTGTGTAGCTGTCGCTGGTGCAGCCGTAGAAGAACACGATACTGTTCTCAATACCGCAGCAGCATCCTGGACGACTTGTCGGGTTTCCGCCGCAATGGGTTCGGTCCTGGTACATCCGCGATGGCCTGGCCCGCCTTGCACTCGACTTTCTTCAGGTCGTCCTTCACACTCTGCATTTCCATCTTGATGTTCCTGTCCAAGCCCTGCATGAAGGTCAGGAGCAGAGCATGTGAAAGCTCGCCACTTTCCGATGCCGCGGCACTGGGCACCCTGGGCAACAGCTCATCGTCTGGCCCCTCTTCCATGGCGCCCTTGTGGCCTGAGCGGGACCTGCAAAGATCTTCGCCCGCGCGTCTGCTAGCCATCACTCGAATGATGTGGACCGCCCTCCGAAGGCATCAGCTAGCACGCAGGGCGGTGGGGACATCTCGCGCGTTGCTTAAAATGGGAGGGGTGGGGGGGGGCTAGCGAGGAAACGTGCACCTTTCGCGCCCCTCTTGGGCCCCTGAGAAAGCACGGAACATGCACATTTCTATTCACCACACCATTTTTTGGCGGCGCGCACAAGGGGGTAAGGGGAGGGGGTGAGTTTCGCAAAAGGAGGCCGCTCCTTAGAAGGCGCCGGCCCTACATCTACAAACAAGGCCCGCGCTTTCTAGGAACAAAAGGGTGTTTCTAAGAAGCCTTGCTCCTTCCCCCTGCCCTCCTCTGCGCGTGGCCGAGAAAGGTGGACATTTCTACATCCCCCCCATCGATTGCATCCCCATTCTGGGTCGACCCAACAGGGGGTCCAGCGAAAAGGGGCTGGTGCAATAGATCTGGTGCAATAGATTTGTGGGACTGGAATAGATTTGGGGTGCGCAATGCATTTTCGGGCGCAAATGCATTGCTGGGTTTTCGCGTGAAAAACATTGTTTGCAATACAATGCAATACAATTCTCTGGCGCAGTAAATTGCAATACGATTGCCCCAAATCTATTGCACCACCCCCTTTCAGCTGGACCCCCTTCTGGGTCACGGGGACCGCCCTGGCCTGCTGCTAGAGCCGAGTCCAGCCAAGTGGACGAGAGCGAGAAAAGCGAGAGGGAGTGGAAAAAACGGACAGCTACATGAGCTGATGGAAGCAACAAGTTCGCAGCGACGGCGAAGGCAACGACGATGACGACACTGCTGGCGACGAAGAATGACGAGCGCGAATCCGACGACGACGACGACAGGCGACGCCCAAAACGAGCAGGAAGAGGCGCAGGATCGAGATACAACGATGCGGAGGGAAGGGAGGAGGAAGAAGAAGATCGATCCCCGAACGACCCCCTGTGACTGCACTGGGACAAAGAGAGAACGGGAAGGTGCAACGCCCTGACTCTCGAGTAACCAACTGCACATGTCATGGGTGATCATATCGTGCTTGGAGCAAGAGGCCAAATACATACAACACCGCATCTGGTCCCAATTCAAGGGTCATCAAGCCATCGCGAAGATAATGAAGGCCATGCCAGAAACTCTGACAACAATCCTGGCATCAGGTCCTACGCCCGCTCTAGGCTCAATGTTCCGTCCCGTGCCACTTTTCCGATGGCACCAGGGCCCGACAAACGACGACGACGACGACGACGACGACGACGACGACGACGACGACGACGACGACGACGACGACGACGACGACGACGACGACTTCGACGACGACGACGACGACGACGACGACGACGACGACGACGACGACGACGGCGACGACGACGACGACGACGACGACGACGACGACGACGACATCGCGCCTCCCCGTGGCCGCCAGAGGCCTGGCGACCACCTTGCGCCCTGGCGCCCGCGTCGGGCCCGGCGCCCTGCTCGGCGAGGAAGCCCGGCCAGGCGCCGCCCTTTCCGGAGGCGCGGCGAGGCCGCCGCCGTCGCCGCCAGCCCTCGGCGCCGCCGCCCGCCCGCCCCCGGAGGCCTGCACGCCCCAGAGCTTCGGGGCTCGACCCTGAGATCCTGGCGTCGCAACCGCGAGCCTCGAGGTGCCTTCCAGCAGCTGCGAGATGCCTCGACCTTGGGCGGCCCCCGTCTTCGAAACGCCTTCCAGCAGCAACGAATCGCCGAGATCGTTCCGGGGGCTGCCCGGGTCGTCCCGAGCGGCCGCCAGAGATCCGAGCTATGACCCGAAACCAAGGGAACCAACGGCCCTACGATCATGGCGTCGCGACTTGTTTGGACTGGGCGTTTTCGATTTAGTTCGGGCCGCGAGACCTTCGCAAATCGATCCAGCTCGAACAAAAAAAACGCAAGCAAACTGGGTCTGGGCTGGCGTCGTCGGGTCGTGGAGGAAAACCGCATTCTCTGCTTTTTCTGAACCTCTGGGGGGCCTCCCGTCGCCACGGCTGGATCCGCCTTGAGATTGTGGTCCGAGCGCGCTTCAGGCAAGGTTTAGGTCGGGCCTGTCCCCCTACAAGGGGACCTTCGACGAAAAATCAAACAAATCTCAACAACTACTCAAAAGATGCCCAACAATACTCAAAACAAAAATCTCCAGACTATTTTTTACAATTTTTGAACATTCCCCCTGTAGAGGGACAGGCCCGACTTAAGGCAAGGTCCGAGGTCGACTTTTGACCTCAGGAACCCGACATCCTTCCAGGAGCCGCCCTCCTTTCCTATCACGTCCTCTGAAAGCTACAGTCGGATTCGATTTGACAGGACACGCGAGAAGACACAAGACCCTTCCGAGGGCCACGTTGCCACAGAAATGCAGGAGGCATGGGCCGAAAGACACAGGACACGAGGGTACCCTTGATCTGGCAGGGTCGACCTACGAATCCGGGCCGCCTGTATTTGTGATAATCGGATTCACAATCATTTCCCTCGGAGTGATCTGCGCTTACACCTGTCGCAATGCGCGTTGCGGACCTATTCTGCCGAGTTGCCTCAGAGCAATCATGTTCCCACTCAAAGTGCTTTCCGCCTCAAGCACGCACTTCATTGTAGGGGGAATCTCGGTCTTAGAACAAACCGCGCAAGGACCCTCCGACAAAAATCGCGCATTTGGAATTTGAAGCCTGACGACGCTGGCGGATGGCAGAGACACTGAAAGTCGGCGAGAACGTGTGGAGGAGGAAGACGAGACGACGACGACGAGGACGACAAGCGGACAGGCCACGAGGCCAGGAAAAGCGAGAAAGACGAGGGACACGAAGATCGGCTCGTGACAGCCTGGAGGCCACAGAACGGCCACAGGGCACGGAGGAAGAAGCCGCGCGCCAGTAGCCGCGGCCCGCCCACGCGGCGCGCGGCACGCTGCGTGCTGCTATGCCTCGGACCAGGCACGCGGGAGGGAACAGAGGAGGGGGGAAAGGCGGGAGGGCGAGGAGGAGAGAAAGGACAAGGTGGGAGGTGCTATATATCTCACCCCCTCACCTCCGATTGCAATGCTGCAATACGAATGAGTACATTCACGGCGCCGCCCGCCGTCGCGTCACTGGCCCCCTCGGCCAGCCTCATCCGCCTCCGCCTCCGCCTCCTGTTCCTGCAGTGTCGGCAGCCTGGCGTCGTCGCCCGCTGCCAGCCGCCCTCCACGCGCCAGCCACTCCTGGCGCTGCCTCCCGGGCTTACAGCTGCGTAGCGTTCGACTCGGTGGCCGACGTTGTGGTCGTGGAGCTCGAAGCGGTCAAAGTGATCGCATATTGCCCGCCACCGCAAGCGCAGCACATGTCAGCAGCAGTGAAATCTTCTTCGTCATAGTAGATCGCCCAATGACAAGTTGCTGGCATCCAGTCCCACTTTAGACATCGAAGTGAGGAACCCTGGCCGTTCTCAAAACTGAATTCGGCGGGAACACTGAGGTGCAATCCATCTGTGTCCACGCACGAGCTTGCATTCTGCTTCGTGAGGTCCCCACCGCCGCAATCACAGCAACTCTCCCTTTCGCCATCCGAACAATTATAATATGCAGAAAAACTAGCGTAGGTGGCATTTGGGCACGTTGTGTCTCCCGAATCAGTGCAAACAAACTCGTCCTCGTACCCCATGCAAATGCACGCATACCCCGGACTACAAACCTGCTCTCCGTACTCATTGGACAAAAGGTTGCCGTTCACGGTATCCACGTAACACCCACGTGGCTCCCACTCGTAAGACATATACGTCTTCCACGTGAAATCATAATACGTGTTTCTCTCAGTCGCGGAGGTAGCATCACTCATACCAAGTACCTGCGCAGCGAAAGGACACAGACCAGTGTCCAAGACTGGAACTGGGCAAAATCCAGAAGTTTTTTTGTAGAAGGGTAGCTCCGAACATGCACCCGAAAAATACGGTTGCCCGGAAAGAGGTCGGATCAGACCGACAAATCCAACATCGCACTTGCATCCGTCCACGACGCTGTCTCCAGTAGAGTTATATGGACACCCAACAGGCTCACACGTGTCGTCCCCGTCAAGGTTGGTGTAACCAGCATCGCAGGTGGTGCAAGTCTCGGCACGGCGGCGCCTTGTCTCACGGTCTCTGCCACACTGAAGGCAATCGTCGGAGGTGCCGTCGTTATAGTGGCCAGCCGGACACTCGCTTGCAGTGGACGCGCGCCGCCTCGTCGTCCAAACGCCGAGGCACAACTGGCAATCGTCCTCCATGCCCCCCTCGTTGTACCTCCCAGTCGCGCACTCTGCGCAGAAGACAGACCGCCTGCGGGTCGTGGTGCATCCCACGCAAGGGCTGCACTCGTCGCTGTCGCCGGCGTCGACATAGCCCGGGGCACAGTCAGTGCAGGACTGGGAGCGTCGCCGCCGGACGGCTCCACCCACGCACGACACGCAGTCGTCCAAATTCCCAATGTCGTAAAAGCCGTCGGGGCAGTCCGTGCAGTCGGCCGCCCGCCGCCGCCTCGTCTCGCCGCCGGCACAGCTGAGACACGTAGGACGCCCGCCATCGTTGTGATACCCAGCGAGGCACTCGTCGCTGTACCAAGGGTGCACGTGAGCACACGATGCATTTGCCTCCAAACACTCCGTGAGGACGCAAGCAACGGGACACTCGTCCATGCCGAACGATGAGTCGCAGCCGCAGGCTTTTGGGCAGAAGAACCTCAGGGACGTGTGGTCCCCGTCGGCGCACGCGTCGAGGTTCAGCAAAGACGTGACCTCGTACGACGCGAGAAAGTCGCAGCCGGACAACCCCCGCGGGTGCGCGAGCCCAGGCATCAACTCCCAAATGCCACTGACCAGAGCCCGCCCCACGGCGCCGGTCGCGACGTGCTCGATGAGGTCGGCCATCATGCCCTCGTCGGGATTGACCCCAGCGTAATCCTTCTCGACGACCTCGGTGACGCTGTCGTTGAATCCTGACAGGCTCGTCAAATATTCAAAAAGGCCCCTCACGTAGAACAGGAACGCCCGGGCATTCCGCGGCATATGCCAACACATGCTTTCAAAATTGTCCCAGCAAGAAGCAGAACTCAGGACGTCCTCGCGGCCGCCACCGCAAGCACAGCACAAATCGGCCGCCTGGAAGTCGTCGTCGTCGGCCATGCCGCAGAAAGAGGGGACAGCCGTGTACACGGAGCAGTCGTTGCCATTCTTGTCGAGTTGCGTTTCCTCGTTCGAGTCAGCGCACCCGCCTGCGAAGGAGAACTCCGCGCTTGCGAAGTCCGAGCACCCTTGGAACAAAGAGGAGGTAGTCAGCTGGTCTGAGCTTGCGTTCTGGGTTGCGTTTGAGTCCTGGGCTGCGCTCAACCCCCGATTTAGAATTGAGAAATCCAGCGCTGCGCCCAGCGATTCCGGAGCTTGCAAGCGCCGACTGGCACTCTCCAGAGTGCTCAGCGCATATCTGAAAGCTATCTCGCTTGTCGCCGCCTTGAATGTCTCGCACTGGCTGGGGCACCCGAAGCTGGCCTTTCCGAAGAAGCCGACGTTACTCAGGAGCGGCTCCTCGCAGCGGCAGTGCCTCGGGCATATGGCGCGAAGCCACGTGCTTTCCCGGGCGGCGCAGAGGTCTCGTGGGATGTCGTCGCAGCTGCTGATGTTGGGGTCGCCCCTGAGCACCCTCAGCGTCTGCACCGATGCCTCGGTGCTCTGGCCAGAGCCCAGATCGCGGCATGGTAGCGTGCTGGCCGCGTCCGAAAGGCTCCACACGCTCATATCGACGATCAGGCCGAACGTCGACTCGTCGACGGCCCGGGCAAACGTCGATCGAGAGGCGTCGAATATGCTCTGGCTCACCCTGCCCTCCCAACCGTCGTTTTCCAGGAGTTCAACCTGCGACACCTGCGCGATAATCTCCTCGGTGTCGGTGTATACATTCTCCCCCATCGTCTTCGCGACGTGCACCATTTTAGTGGCGGGGTTCTCGGTGTAGACGAAATTCAGGTCGCCCGAGCATACGATTTTCTCGCCCTGGAGGATTTGCCAATTGATCGGCAAGACCACGAACATGTAAAAACTCGAGATTATGGTCATGACAAGGGCGATGGTGAAAGCGGTGCTCACTCCAGACAGCCTGGAGCCTGGTTTGCGCGGTGGCATTGGCAGGGGCTCCAAGTTGCAGATCAGCGTCTTGGTTCGCCGAGGCATGAGGACCGAGTACAGCACCTCGTCGAATTCGAGGACGAAGGCGAGCGCCACGCCGTTCAAGATCAGCTCGGAGAAATTCACCGTGTTGGCTAACCACTTGGCCCCGAACCACCACAAAATGCCGGCCACCAGCAATTTCGGGAGGCACACGCTGAAGAAAAAGAATGCCACGCGGCCAGGCCACACGGTGACCATGCGCACGACTTTCATGAAGTCGAACAGGTGGCCAGAATCATCTTCACCGACACCAATGTCACGAGCTCCTGCGCGAACGAGAGTGGGAGGACTGTCGTCTTCGTGTTCATCCATGTCACCAACCACGAGCTTCGTCTGGCTCCCCATCCTGCACTGGCACACTGCTCTGAATATGCTGTATGTAATATCGACATCCTTCAGTATTGTGCAGAGCCACAGGATCTGAATGAATACAACGAGGCACTGAGCTACGACGCCTCCACCAACGTACTCCATGAGGTCGGTGTAAAGACCCGTCTGCTCACCAGCCAGGTGCAGCTTAGAATCTCCATCGCAGATCTGTTGGGCCATCGATCGTTGCGTCACCTTGTCTGCATATTCGGCTCTGTGCGCCAAACCGAGCCTAAACTTGAGCAGGCCATCAAGTACATCTGCGTCCAGGCTGACAGACTGCGTCATCAGATCAACGATGATCACAATGAACATGAACTGCAGAATCAGGTTAAGAAACCAGATTGAGAACATCATCACCGAGTTCATGAGACCAATCGAGCTGTGCCCGCAGAAGAGCATCGAGTCCCAAACTGACTCGCTAATGGTGTACATCTCCCCACAATCGAGCATGAGTGGAGTCACTGACCTTCTGTCACTACTGCTGCCGGGGGGTCCAGGGCACCCACGCCGATTCAGCACAGGCACCTCGAGCTCCTCAGACTCCTCGACCTGGCCGAAAGACTTCACCGCCTTCCTTTCCTTGCGCTCCTGTCGAATCGCATCCTCCACGGCGCTGATTCGCTTCTCGAGCGCCGCGCCGGCCAGCACTGCCACGGCCTCCTCCACGGCGCGGAGCCTCTCCTCGACCGCCGCGCCAGCGAGACCTCCGCCTGCCCGGAGCGTGTCCTCCAGGGCACGGACCCTCCTCTCGATCGCCTCGCCCGCGAGCCTGCCGCCCGCCTGGAGCGCCACCTCCATGACCCGCATCCTCCTCTCGATTGCCGCGTCCGCAAACCCACCGGCCGCATCGCGCGGGCTGCCCGCCTTCGCCGACCACGGCCTGGGTGGCCGCGGGTTCAGAGCCGGGCGGCCTGCATGGGGCTCCCGGATCGCGTCATTGGTGCCGCGCGCAAAGAATTCGCTGGGCGCCGCGCCCCCGTCCATCGGCCGCGAGCCAAGCCCAATTTCTGGAGGGCACGCAAGGGAGAGAGGAGGCACGGGTTGCTAGCAAGGGAGCCGGCAGAGGCGCAAGGCGTCTACCTTGAGCCAGGCTTGAGCCAGAGGCTACGGGTGGTGGGGATCCGCGAAGCGTCAAGGATTTGTTACTCGTAAGGCTGACCTCACACCTGCAGCAGCGGAACGCCGGGCTCTTCACGCCCAGCCAAGCGACGTCAGGCTTCCTCAGCCTGGGCCTCCTGTGGCCTCCTGACCCCACTTGGGGCTTCCTGAAGCCTCTTGGGGCTCCCAGGGGGGGATATCTAACATGTGGCCGTCTGGGCCCTGGGGGGCCACAAGAGCAGGAAAAATCAGCGAATCGACACCAGATGTGTATTAACTTGACACGTTCTGATAGGGGGCCTCCTGGGGCCTCCTGGGAGCCTCCTGGGAATCTCCTGGGGACCCCCTGGAGCCTGTCCTGGGCGTCCTGCGGCCTCCTGAAGCTCTCTGGGGCCTCCTGGGGCTCCCAGGGTCTTAGGGGGGATCTGTAACATGTGGTCTTCTGGGCCCCCAGGCTGGACCACCTCTTGCGCGGCATCTGGGAGCTCAGAGTTTGAAGAATGTCTCAAGCGAAACGGGCCGGACCACCTTGCGCACGGCATCTCAGAGCTCAGAGTTGCGAGGATATCTCAGGCGAGACGGGCCAGACGACCTCGCGCAGGGCATCTCCGAGGTCAGAATTGCGAGGATGTCTCAGGCGAAACTGGCTGGACCACGTCGCGCGCGGCATCTCCGAGGTCACAGTTGCGAGGATGTCTCAGGCGAAATGGGCTGGACCACCTCTTGCGCGGCAGCTCCGAGGTCAGAGTTGCGAAGATATCTCAGGCGAAACGGGCCAGACCACCTCGCGCGCGGCATCTCAGAGCTCAGAGTTTCGAGGACGTCTCAGACGAAACGGGCCAGACCACCTCGCGCGCGGCATCTCGGAATGCAGAAATGCAAGGATGTCTCAAGTGAAACGGGCCGGACCACCTCTTGGGCGGCATCTCAGGGCCTAGATATTGGAAGATGTCTCAAGCGAAACGGGCCAGACCACCTCTCGCGCGGCATCAGAGAGCGCAGAGTTCGGAGGATGTCTCAGGCAAAACGGGCCGGACCACTTCGCGCACGGCATATCATGGCTCAGAGTTTAGAAGATGTCTCAGGCGAAACGGGCCGGACCACCTCTTGCGCGGCATCTGGGAACCAGAGTTTGGAGGATGTCTCAGGCGAAATGGGCTGGACCACCTCTTGCGCGGCATCTCCGAGGACAGAGTTGCGAGGATGGCTCAGGCGAAACGCGCCGGACCACCTCTCGCGCGGCATCAGAGAACTCAGAGTTTGGAGGATGGTTACGGCGATACGGGCCGCTGGACCACTTCTTGCGCGGCATCTGGGAGCTCAGAGTTTGGAGAATGTCTCAAGCGAAACGGGCCGGACCACCCCTCTCGCGCGGCATCTGGGAGCTCAGAAGTTCGAGGATGTCTCAGGCGAAACGGGCCGGACCACCTCTTGCGCGGCATCTGGGAACCAGAGTTTGGAGGATGTCTCACGCGAAACGCCCAATCCCAGACAACTCAGAAACGAGAGTTGCGAAGATGTCTCAGGCGAAACGGCCCGGACTACCAATTTTTTGAGGACGTCTCTGCTTTGAATTCCCTCGGACGGAAGTAGCTTCTATCAAAACAGCACCCCGTCCAGCAAGCTGTTAGGGGAAAAAATTAAAAAATACCCCCAAATGGTCAAAATACTAAAAAAAAATCGTCCTCATACTATTTTTTAACTATTTTGGCAAATTCCCCCTGTAGAGGGACAGGCCCGACTTAATCCTGGCCTCCCCATGGCGAGAGCGCCCAGCTGGGTGCATCGCCTCCCGCCCCCCGACGCCTCCTGGGCGGCCCGGAGTCTCGACGCGCCTTTCCGGCGCTCTCCAAGACTTCCCGAGGCCCCCAAAGCGGCCCATCGAGGCCACCGAGCCCGGCAAGATGGGACAAGACACCCCTAAAACGGCCCGAGGTGGGACGGCCCAGAACGTCTTCAAGACCGCCCAAGAGGCTCATCGTGCGGCCCAGAAGGGTTCCAAGACAACTCCACGGAGAACATGAAGATGTACAATCACTGTTGTTCCCAGTCCTCCTCCATCCTCCCCCTCTTGGGGTACGACGTCCCACTTGGCAGGAGCCATCATGGTGGCCTCCCCTGACAGACTCTAACAAGGAATAAGGAGGGCCTGCGAGCCACAAGTACGGACTGCGCAACCGTATCTAGTAAAATAGCTATACATGCCAGAAACATAAGCTGCTGTCTGCCACTGAGAGTTGTGACCGTTCCGCACGTTTGGCAGTTCCGCACGTTTGCAAAACATCTCCAATGACCAAGCGTGCCTAGTGTTGGAAGGCCATGTGGGACATGTTCTAGAAGAGGAACATACAACCCTTTCTCCGACCTTGCGCTGCGCCGAACGCAACGGCCGCATTGACTGTAGACGCATCCATCGCGAATGTGTCTACACATGTAATGGCATCGATGTGTCTATAGACGCTTGTGGCTAGAAAGTGGGAAAGGTACTTGGCACAGGCCCCAGACACTGGTCTTCTAGAAGCAGGCAGACGTTGCCCTCCAAGCCTTGTGACACTACACACATCGGGTGATGACTCGGCTCCCTGGCGGCCGTTCGGGGCAACCCGGGCACCCAACGGGACAACCCTCGGCAAGGCGCAGCTCCTGGAAGGCAGCCTCGGGCTGGGCCACCGCCGCGAGCCGACGAAGACGCTCAAAACCCTCGACGAAACCCTCGAATCCGGCAGACTCTGACATTGTTTGGGATCCGTGGATCTGGCGCGTGGGCACCATATCCACGGACTGTGGAAAGTGCCCAGCCGATCATGAGGCCAGTGCCAGAACTCCCCCCCCTCCTCCTCCTCCCCCTCCGCCTCCGCCTCCTCCTCCTCCTTCCCCCACCTCCGACAAGGACAACAGCGACGACTGCGACGACGGCGACGGCGACGACGCCGACAGACGGCCAACCATGACAGACGACGACGACGACGACGACGACCACCACGACAGACGCCGACGCCGACGCCGACGCCGACGACAGCGACCACGACCACGACCACGACGACAACGACAAGGACGACGACGAAGCTCTCGATACTCGCGACTGCAGCGATAGCGACAGGATCAGTCAGCATCGAATCGAGAAATCGACTCTAATAGAAGTGTGCGTCGGATCGGGCTGCATCGGCGCGGAATCGAATCGGATCAACTGCACCAGGATGCACGACAGCGACGCGCAAACATCGGGCCGCATCGAATCGTCGTGATGCCAGAATCCAACCGGATCGGGCGGGCCGAGATCGATATCGAATCGGACCGATCGGATCGAAATGCGCCATGCGACGGCGGCTGAAGCCGGCGACGACGGACGACCACGGACGAGAACCGAATGCTGAAGACCTCTGGCTGGGCGTCCTCGCCCATGGGACTGTCGACCGAGGATGGTCTGCAGCCAGGGCCTCGGCAGGCGCGGAGGCAGCGACGAAAGAGGCCAGCCCGGACGCCCATTGTAGGCCCTCGGTGGCCCTCGGAGGCCTTCGGCGGGCATCTGGTGGCCAAGTCGCCGTTGGCGTCGGTTCATCGTTGATCGAGGATCGCAGCGGATTGGCGCTCTGGGCCCCTTTCCAGAGGCAGCTGGTGGCCTGCCAAGGATGCTGTAGTTGTCGTCGTTCGTCGTATAGTTCCGTCGTCGTCGTCGATCGAGGGTCGAGGTTTCAGACCGTTCTTCATACATTTTGGCACGTCTGGAGGCCTGCCAAAGAGGCCGTCGCCGTTCGACGGCGTCGTCCTTCGTCGTCCGTCGTCGTCATCCTTCTCATCATCATCACCATCACCATCATCGATAATCATCAACATCAGCGGCAACACGTCATCATCATAATCACCACCATTATCAACATCATCCTCATCACCACCACTATCATAATCATCACCATCACTATCACCACCACTATCAGAATCATCACCATCACTACCACCATCACTATCATCATACTCATCACCATCATCACCATCATCATCATCATCATCATCATCATCATCATCATCATCATCATCATGATCATCATCATCATCAGCATCACCATTATCATCAACATCATCATGAGCATCGACATCGTCACGCCCATCATCATCGTCATCATCATCATCATCATCATCATCATCACCATCACCATCACCATCATCATCATCATCATCATCATTATCACCATCACCATCACCATCACCATCATCATCATCATCATCAGCATCATCATCATCATAATCATCAACTACATGGTCATCCATGTTCGCCCATCGTCGACCAGTATCTCCGCCAACACGATGTCCCTCATGACCTCCATCATCACCATAATCACCATCACCAGCACCGCCACCATCGCCACCATCATCACCATCAGCATCACCATGACCATCACCATCACTATCCTCATAATCACCATCATCATCAGCATCATCATGATCATAAGCATCATCGTCATCACAATCATCATCATCATCATCATCGTCATCATCATCAGGATCAGCATCAGCATCAACATTAGCATCAGCAATATCATCATCAGCATCAGCATAATCATCATCATCACCATTATCATCATTATCATCATCATCACCATCATCATCAGCATCATCATTCTCATCATCATCACTACCATTACCATCACCATCACCATCGTCATCCTCGTCGCCACAGCAACCGCACCCCCATCCTCAGCCATGCTCCTCCCTCCTCCCCCCTACCTCCCCTCTTCGAGGACAATCTAGTCGTGGCAAAAAGGGATCTGCGCAGCATGGCATCGGTTTGGGGATCCTAAAACCATGTCGTGACAGACTGTGCGGTGACCTGGGAATCCCGAGAGACCTCACCGCGCGGTCCATCACCGCATGGTCTTGGGACCTCGGAAGCAAAAGACGCCCGAGACGCCGGCCGAGAACGACCCGCGTCACAAAACCGTGCAGTGACATCCGAACCCCTCTGACTCACCGCGCGGTGTGGTCACCACACCGCGGAGAAACACCACTGAAGCCCTAGACCCCCATCTTGCTGCAACATTTTCCAGTCAGATCGATCTGCCTGGGTCCTGGGACCCGCAAGCGGGCAAACATGCACGGTGTAAAAAACAACAACAATGCCCAGACTTCAGGATTTCGGGGCCCCCGATCGGCATTTCCCCCTCCCCCCCTCATCATTGTGTACCAGAAATTTCTCATCACGACCGACGAGATCGGTCGCCACGGCTTTGCATCCGAGTTCCAGGATCGGTCGCGACCGACTTGCTTCAAAGTCGGCCGCGACCGATCTGTCGCGAACGACTGGTCGCGACCGACTTGGGAATCGGTCGCGACATTTTCGGAGTGCCGATCGGCTACTACCGATCGCGACCGAAAACACCCGGCGTGCAGTCGGACTCGATTGGACAGGACACGCGAGAGGACACGAGACCCTTCCGAGGGCCACGTTGCCGCAGGCAGGCAGGAAGCACGGGCCGCGAGACGCAGGACGCATGGGTACCCTTGCTGTGACAGGGTCGACCTCCCAACCATCGGGAGCGGCCAAGAGGGGGGTGTCCAAGAGGGGGGGGTGCAAATCATGACCGGCGGCATGTGCGCGGCCCAGCGGGGGGGCCTGGGACGTAATGAAATAAGAAGAGGCGCCATGAAATCTGAAGAAAAATCATGGCCCGCGCCATGAAATCCACCCCCCCTAGTCATCACCCCCCTCTTTTCCGCTCCCGAAACCAAGGCCGAATGTACCTCGCAACCTGGGCCTGGGCGGTGCCCCGCCGCCCAGGCTGCCGCCGGGCCGCCGCCGCGACGGGCGCCGCGCCGCCGCGGGGGCGCGCGAGCCTCGGGTCGGGCGAAAGGGGGGGATAGCAAAGGGGGGGTTTGAGAATCAGCTCACGTAGCTGATCTTCCCGGCGCCTCCCGGCGCTGGAGGCGGCTGTGCATCGAGGAATGGGCTCCTCGGGGAGGCCAAAATCAGCTGCCTGCCGCAAATTTCGTAGCCCCCCCTTTCCCAATCCCCCCCTTTCGTCCGGCCCGACGAATGTACCTCGCAACCTGGGCCTGGGCGGTGCCCCGCCGCCCAGGCTGCCGCCGGGCCGCCGCCGCGACGGGCGCCGCGCCGCCGCGACGGGCGCCGCGAGCCCTCGGCCCGCCCAGGCGCGCGGGCGGCCCGCGCGCGCGCGCGCGCGCGCCGGGCGCGCCGCCGTCGTCGCCCGCGAGGCGCAGCTCCTCGGCGCGGCGCGCGGGCCCCCGGGGGCCACCCCGCGTCGGCCGGCGGCTGGCGAGGGGCGACGACGACAGCGACGACGACGACGAGGACGACGAGGACGAGGACGACGAGGACGAGGACGACGAGGACGACGACGACGACGAGGACGAGGACGACGACGACGGCGACGACGACGACGACGACGACGACGACGACGGCGGCGGCGGCGGCGGCGGCGGCGGCGGCGGCGGCGGCGGCGGCGGCGGCGGCGGCGGCGGCGGCGGAGAAGTGCTTGATTGGTCCCCCCCTTTATTCGGCGGCCGCAAGGGAGCAAGCGGCAGGGCCACGCCACGCTGAAAATTAGACCATGCAGGCCTTCACGGAGGAGGGCCCGGACACTCCACGTCCTGAAAGGGTCGGGGCAGTTTTCGGCCGCGGGGGGCCCCCACTGGGCCCCAGGGCCGTCCAGAAAAACGGCCCAGGAGGAGCAGCAGGCCCTCGGGAAGGGGTCGGGACTTCAGGGCACCGCGCATTGCAAGAAGCACGACGTCGCATGTCTGCAGGCGTTTTCTGTGTACTCAAGATTTCGTAATAAGAGGGAGGGGGTCACAACCCTCCCAGACGAGAAGTTTTAGACCCCCCCAGACCATCCGCGAAAGAGCGGCCCTTTGCCCAGACCCCCCCCGAACCCTCAAGACAGCTCAAATCAGACCCCCCCCCAAATGTGACCCCCCTCCCTTGATTACGAAATCTGGAGTACCAGTACTTCGCGCCTCGCCCCCCGCGGTGCGCGACCCCCGAACTTCGTCGCGCCCTCGCGCCGCCGCGCGGGAGACGAGCGCCGCTTCGGCCCAGGCCGCGACGCGCAAGCCGCGAATGTCATCTTTGCGCCCTTTAGGGGGGGGCCTCCGCCGCTCCTCGTCGCGCAGACATCATCCTCTCTACGGCAGGTTCGCGTCGTGTCGACCCCGGCGTTGGTTTCTGACACCGCGGGGATCGTTCAACCTTGAACGATCGGCCGTTTCCGAAACGTCCAAATCGTTCCACATCGAACGATTCTGGGTCGCCCGCGGCGTGCAAGGTTGAACGCCGCTGGCGGGGTCGCCGCCGGTCGACACGACACGAACCCACCGTAACTCTCTCTCTCTCTCTCGCTCTCAGGCACACGCAGCTGCCCCCACCTCGACGGACGCGCCGCCCCCCTGTCCCCCTTCCTTCCGCCGGCGGTTCCGCCCCCCCCCCCCCCTCGGGCCTCCTCGACCTCCGTATCTCTCCTCCTGGCCCGATGGATCGTATCCCTCCACCTCTCCCTCCGCGCTCTGCGGCGATCCGCCTCCGCCTCGCCGTCCTGCCGCTGCGCCCCACGCTGCACATCGTCGGCCTGCACCTCGGCGCCTTCCACCCGCCTGCCTCCTCCGCTCCGCCGGCCCGCTGCGACGATCCCATCGGGGGCGAGGCGTCCGCCGCGATGGGATCGATGCCCCTGTTCGTGCCCGCGCGGCACGCGCGCGCCGCTGAGTTGCGATCCCCACTGTTTGCAGCGAGTCGAAGCCTCGCCGCCCAGGCTGGACGCGGCGCGAATCAGCGAGTCGGAGACGCCGCCAGAGGCCGCCACGCCCCATGACTGACCCTATCTCGCGGACCCTCGGAGACGCGCCCCGAGGCAAGAATCTCATGCGCAGGCCTCGGGAAGCACGACTGGGAATTCACGGGCAAGAAACGTGCCGAGCACCGAAGTGCGTCGAAGCGGCACTTGGCCCTTCTGACGCGCCCAACGCCCGACTGTGACTGGTCGGCGGGCCAGGAGGGAACTGAAGCTCGGGGAACATATCGAATCGGCCTGTGAGCAGCGCTGACAGTCTGTCGAGCTGCGCCCATCCGCGGCCGAGAAGGCGTCCCAGGAGGCCCCAAAAATGCAGATGCACAGTGCGCAAGAAGCGACGACCTTCGGTCCCTGAACTCTTTGGAACAGGAAAACACATTACACACGGATGAACGATCGAAGCTTTGTCGGTGTAGCTTAAAACAGGTTCCTGACTGGCGATGTTGACGCCCGCCTTTGGTTTAGGGTGTCGACGTCCGTAATCCGCGCCAATCACTGAAGTATGTCGCTCGTGCGTGGTATTGATGCATGTTCTCAACGGGTGCGATCGGCGTGTGCTTCAGAATTTCGACCTCGATGTCGGCCTGGAGGGCTCGTGATTGATTTGGGTGCGTTCCTGGCGTGTGTGATTAATGTGCCACTGATGTGTGCTGGTGGCGAAGGTCATGGGCGATGGCTTTGCATGTCGAGCGCCATTGAGACAAATGCACGATGCACGTCATTGCGCTCTCTTGCCAATGTCTTTCTTGATGTCGGTTGTGGATGCAGATTAGTGGCGTACGCTATGCAATCACGTTTTTGATGTATAATGTGAATGTATGCGCGTTGTGCATAGTCGTGGTGGATGGTATTGAAGCATGTGTTGTGTTCTGGCGCATGCGTGTGATCTGGGTGCATGGGAATCAGGTTGTTATGTGGATGCGTGCGTGTGGTCTTGAAGCACGTTCATGGAGTACGCAGTTGGTGCACAGACTGGTGCGTGATGTTGGTCCCCGCTGCTAGTGCAGGTCAGTGACGTCCGCTGCCCACTTGGCGCATGAGTGGAACGACAGCCGATGCAGGCTGCGCGGGGCCCGCTCCCTGGGACGGCGACTGTCCCGGCAGGCGCTCATCCTTTGCGGCGCCTGAAGGCGCACCTCGCTCGGCGCCTCCTCCTTCTCGGGCTCGTCGTCGCCGCCGGACAAGAAGCTGCTCTGCGAGCCCTCAGCCTCCCCGATATATGCTATCGATGCCCGTTGCTGGTGTCGTGTATGTACCTGATGTACGATACGTATGTGATGATGCACGTTCTCGATGTGTGTGTTATCGCTCTGTTGTTGCTGTATGCTATTCGCGTCTGATCTAGGTATGTGCACGGCATGGCGTTGTTTTATCGCGTGGAAGGTGAATCAATTGTGTGTGGTACGCAGGTGAATGCATTAGGTTTGGCGTGAAGTAGCCAGGTAAGCGAATTATGTGTGGCGCGTAAGACATTCATGCTGTGTACCATGGCCTATGTATGGTGTGAATGTATGCTCTGCGCGTGTTCCTTGAATTAACACGCCATTCCCAACACTGCTTGCACTGCTGGTTTCTTCCTTCCCTTCAAATGAGCTGGATGGGTTCGCTGGGTCTCAGCGAGGTTGCCGCCCCGTGCCGCCTCGTGGGCGCCCCGCGCGCTGGAGGACTCGCCGCAACTGCGACACGGTGCCGCCCGTCCCGCCCCGAGGGCGCTTTCGTGGGCGCCCATTGCGCCCGGGGTGGGCTCGCCGAGGCTGCGCCACGTTGTGCCGCCCGTGCCGACTCGTGCACGCCTCGCGGGCGCCCCGCGGGCTGGGCGGGCCGTTGAAATGGCGCCACGGTGCCGCCAGTGCCGCCTCAAAATCGCCTCGTGGGTGCCCCGCGCCGCTGGGTGGGTCCGCCGAAACTGCGCGTTACGCTGACGCCCGTGCCGTTTCGTGGGCGCCTCGTGGGCGCCCGTGCGCTAAGCTTGCACCACACAACTTGCACCACACAACGTGAACGACGCAGCTTGCACCACATCGCTCACACCGCATAGCTTACACAACACAACTTACGCATCACAGCTCCCACATAACAGTTTCTCCTTCCAGCTTGTGCCACATAATTTCCACCACCTCCAGCTTTCTTCGAACAGTTTATACCACATAGTTTGCACCGCATAGCGCGCACAACATCACACCAATCAAATGAAATTCGCCGGCCCAACGGGCCAGAGGCGTACTAAGATCTCCGGTAACTGGTTAACAATATTTCTAGTTCGCGTGCGCGGGGCGGCCCCTGGGGGTCCCCCGGCGAAAAGTACCCCAACCGCAGCCCGGGAAGGTCTACTCAAAGATGGTTTTCCTCCTGGGTACGGCCTCTCAGGCCCCCCAGAGCGCGCCAAGAGGGCCCCAAGAGGCCCCCAAGACTGCCCAAGAGGCCCCCGAGACGCCCAAAACCCTCCAAGACGCCGAAGATGATCCCAAGACGGCCCAAGAAGCCGCCAAGACGCTCCAAGTGGCCTCCAAGAGGCCTCACAAGAGCGCCCCGAGAGGCCAAAATCATCAATTTTACGAGGGTTTTGGAAGGATTCTGGCCTTGTCGCATTTTCGGCTTTCCGATGCTCCCAGACGGCCCAAGAGGCCCCCAAGAGCGCACGAAGACGGCTCAAGAGGCCCCCAAGAAGGCCCCCAGAGAGCCCAAACGGGCCCCGAGACGGCCCAAGAGACGCCCAAGACGGCCCAAGAGAGTCCCAAGACGGCCCCAAGAGGGGCCCAAGATGGGGACCACGAACCGAAACCTCAAGCCTTCCGCCCCAAGAGGGCCCCAGGAGGCCCCGAGAGGCCCCCAAGATGGCCCAAGATGCCGCCAAGAGGCCCCCAAGAGACCCCAGGAGACTCCAAGGAGGCTCAAAAGAGGCCCTACAAGGCTTCAAAAATGTCTCCCAGGCGCCCCCGAACGGCCTCTCAACAGACCCCAGGGCCTCCCAAAGAAGCATCTGGACGACGGCCCTATTTGGGCCCACGGCGAAGCAGTAGCGATCATGCAACATGGGCCGGCGGAGTGAGCGAAGCGATTGAATAATTTACACCGCGTATTTCACACCGCGTAACTTTTTTGTCCACAGCGCAAAGGCCTTTTGTCTAAGGTCCACGCTGGCTAAAATGGTATGAGGTTTGCGTGTGTTCGTCATGTATTATTCATTCGTCGCTGACGCGAGGGGATCCCCAAGGACCACCGGGAACCCTGCGGCTGCACGGCCGCGGTATGCAATCAACATTCGTCGACGAAGACGTGATGCGGGATCCCGAAAGACCCTTGGGGCCTTGCGGCCGCTGTATGCAGTCATCATTCGCCGAAGACGCGAAGCGGATCCAAGAACCACCGCGCCCCCCGGGGCATGGCAGCCGCAATGCGCAATCGTCATCCGCCGAAGACGCGAGGCGAGATTTCCAGGGACCAAAGGGACCATCGGGGCCTGGCAGCCGCGGCACGCAGAAAACGCGAAACGGACTGGGGTCTCTATCTACCCTTCGAACCTCAACGCTATTTTCGTGCGAGCGGTCCCCACCGAGTTCCAGCACATGGAAGTGTACGTTCCGCGTGCGTGTGTGTTGTCATCGCCCGGGGTTGATACCGCTCTTGACTTTGGTGTTGTACGTCCATGGAGCATGCGTATGATAGGTGTACATCTTCTTCCAGGAAGAAATCAAACACGGTGCGCTCTAGAGGTATACGTGGTGCGACCTACGTGGCGCCATTGATCTTAACAAACGAACTGACACATCCTGCGCTGTTGCAAACATTCCAGCCACCCACCCGCAACTTGGTTTGCAAAACCCATGCGGTGGCGATTGCGATGAGTGGTTCACGTTCGCTGGTCCATCTTTGCGGCCGTGCCTTCCCAAACGCAAGCGCGCAGCGGCCAGCTAGTATGGGGCGACCGACACGGCCGCGGTAGCGCTGACCGTTGGGCAGATCCCAACTGGCAATTCACTGCGGTTCGGCGAATTGGGCGGGCACGATATCATGGCAACGTCGACAACGGTAGACACGATGATGATAGTAGCGATGCTGTTGGCGATGTTGACAACGACGGCGGCGCGGCCAGTGCGGGCGCCGATGCTGATCACGCCGTCGACGATGACGGCGATCCTCGCGTCGGTGATCCAGGTATTGGAAAAAGTTCGACATGCGCGAGCGGCCGACGCGCGAGAGTGGCCGCATGGTTTTATTTTACACGGACCCTGCCACCCCAGCGCGCGCGCGCAAGGGCGTGCGAGTGATGTCGGCATGCGGCGGCAGAGGCCCGTTTGGCAGAATTCCATGACAATGATGAAGCACCGATGGTTTTCTCAACAAAACGCAAGAACGCGAGCGCACGCTGTTTTGAAAACTGATGGTGCGAACACATGTTTTTGTATGGTGTTGGGACACTCGGTGATGAAATCGTCACGGCATCCAGGGTTTTTGACAGATTTCGGCATGCGCGCGCGTCGTCGCGCGTGCGCGTGCACTTCGTCTCACTTGTTGCATACGTTTTACGCGACGGCACGCGCGCCGAACGATTTCGACATGCGCGCGCCGCGAAGCCCGTTTGGTAGCATGTTCAGGGTTTTGTTTGTTTTGTTTTTGTGCGTCAAGGAAAAACGCATGGTTTCCGGAAAAATTCGCGAGGGCGCGCGCGCAAGTTTTGTTTGAACATCCGTCTTGCGAAACCACGTGCCAAGTTTGTTGGGCACTCGATATTAAAATCCTTTAGAGACCTAGGTTTTTTGAAGGTGTTCGGCATGCGCGCGCGACGACGCGCGCGTGTGCATGTCGTCTTGTTGTTTGCAATGGATCCTTGGAAAAATCATGACTTGTGATGCACAAGCGCGCATATAATCTGTTGCAGAGGATGACGGGGGGGGGCGATACCGGTTGGGCTGGGGTGGTGCGACGGTACGAATTCATATTTCGAACGGACGATCCAAATCGTATGCAAATTGCAATACGAAAAAGCGTGTCGATAATCCTGGAAGGGGGGAGACTCTACTAATTTTTCAGGAAAAGAGAATACACGTGATACAAAATACATGGAGCAATAGATGTGGTACAAACTGCGTGGGGCAACTCACCCTGCTGAGTTTGAATTTGTCAACTTCACTGTTCGCGCAATCGTCCCACCCACCAACCCGCAATCGGCCGGCGGGCTGCGGCCCCGCTAGCGCGCGCAGGTTCGCGCGCCCAGCGGCCAGCTAGTCTGGAGCGACCGACGTGGCCGTGGTGGCGCTGACCGCTGGGGACTCCCCAGTGCATCGCGCAGGCCGCGCTGGCACTCGGGCGCTTCAACGCGATTCGGCGACTCGGGCGGGCGATGTATCATGGCGACGCCGACAAGGGCAGACACGGGAATGCTTGTAGCGATACTGGTGACGACGGCGACGATGACGACTGCAGGGCCAATGACGGCTCGGGGATCTTCTGACCCGGGTCAATCCAGACCCGGGTCAGCAGGAAACCAAGAACTGCAATGCAGGAAAAAGAAACTGCAACGAAAATCCTCGCAAACCCGGGTCAACCAATACGCGCGGCCGCCTGCGGCCACGAGCGGTTCGCTAACCCGGGTCAGCCAGAGGGGGTCTTCGCAGGATCCTGCAGGATCTGGCGCCCTGGTTGACCCTTGTTTGCATTGACCCCCGTCTCAAGGCTCCCGAACGGCGCCGATGCTGATCACGCCGGTGGTGATGATGGTGGCCACGTGTCGGTGATGAAGGTTTTGGTCGGATGTCGACGTGCGCGCACGGCCGACGTGCGCGAGTGGCCGGCATGGTACCACTTGACAAAGATCGCGCCCCCCCCCCCCCCAGCGAGCGCGCAAACGCATCGAATGATTTCGACGTGCGCGCGCGAGATGCCCACTTGGTCGCATTTGACGAACCTGTGCTTTTTCTTGCTTTAGAAAAAAATGGCTTCCGTAGCAAATCGCAAGAGCGCGCAGACTTTGTTGAAACAACGCTGCACAAACATTCACTGTTATGTGTTCCAGGAAGCTCGATCCTGGAATCCCTAAGAAGCCTGTTGTCATTTGAGGGGCGTCGGCATGCGCAAGCGACAATGCGCGCGTGTGGACTTTGTCACATTTCGTCGAAGGAATGATTGAAACTGCGGGTTTGTGCTAAAGGAGTTCGCGCGCGTAGTAATCAAAATAGTTTGCAAAGACGAACAGGGGAGGTCGACACCGGGTCCCCCAGAATGGCACGAATTCGTATGTACAATGAGCATCGGGGGTGGGGGTGGATCCATCTTTCCTTTGGAAAAAACTGCGCGGTGCGCAACTTATGTTGTCCAATCTATGCGGCGTGCAATCTATGTGGGCTGCGACGATGCGGCGACGGCGGCAACATATCCGCCAGAGCGGCATACAAACCGAGACGCTGGGCGGCGACGAGGCGGCGACGGGGCGGAGACGGCGGCAACTTAGCCGCCTGAGCGGCACACCAGCCCAATACCTTAGAACAGACGTAAGAATCCCTCGGTGCAAGCATTGTTGGTGGAAAGACAGCATAAGCATAAATTCTTGTAGGTCGACGCGGACTTCTTGGATCGGCGCTGGACCCCCCCCCATGGCGGCACCTCCTGCACTTCCCCTGGCTCGCTCCGTTCGATCTGCGAGTGTCCCGGGGCTCAGGAAACGGGCGAGAGCGCCCGTCGCGACAAAATCGCCAGGATCTCAGAGGCTCTGCTTCTCCAGCCGCGGCCCCGCACCAGGGGGAGAAACGTGGGGGGCGGAAGCAGGACGCCGTCTGGGCCAGCTCGAGGCCCCCGTGGGTCCGTCCTGGGCTGCCCAGGGGCCCTCGTGGGCTTTCCTGCAGTCTTTGAGGCCGTCTTGGACGGCCTCCTGGGCCACCTTGCAGCCCCCTTGGGCCGTCGTCGGGGCCATCCTGGAGGCCTCGTGTAAAACGACGCGAAGATCGGGACAACATCGGATCGGGACAACTCGAAATCTCTGAGAATCGGCGGGTTTGGAGGATGTGTTCGGCGCCGCGGCCGCTCCAGGGCGTTCCGGAACGCTCTGAGAGCGCTCCGGAACGCTCTGGAGCGATTCATCCCGATCCTAGCCCTGTTTTATCGGGTCGGGCAAAAGGGGGGGATAGCAAAGGGAGGGTTTGAGAATCAGCTCGCGTAGCTGATTTTCCCGGCGCCTCCCGGCGCCGGGAGGCGCCAATGTATCGAGGAATGGGCCCCTCGGTGAGGCCGAAACCAGCTGCATGCAGCAAATTTCGTAACCCCCCCTTTCCCAATCCCCCCCTTTCGCCCGACCCGATTTTATCGTGGGCCATCTTGAGCCGACGCAGGCACCAAAAGGCGCGAGCTGGAACCGCGGGGGGGGGGGCGGAGGCAGGACCGCGCGCGGGGCCGCCGAGGAGGCTCCTCCTCGTGCGGGCCCCGGCAGGCCTCGTCCAGCGCCTCCCTGTACGCGGAGCTGCGCTGCTGCCTCTCCTGGCGGGTCGGGGCCGCCAGGCTTCGCGCGGCGCGCGCCCCGCGATGCGCGGCCGCGAGGTCTGCTCTTCTCGGGAAGGGGAAAGAACACACAGACACGATTCATCGTCGAGTCCCGGGAAACTACGGGAAAATATGGGAAGTGGGGGGAAGACAAAAAAGCCCAGAGAATACAGGAAAATATGGGGCACATGTTCCTTTGTGTGTATTTACTTGTGTGTCCTTGGGCCCCTTCATCTTCGCGCCCCCGCGCCGGTGCTCTGGCGACGGGCGCCCTGTCAGCCCCAGCCGCAGCGCACGAGGCGCAGTGATCGTCGCGCCCCAGGGGGTGGCCTAAGCGGGTCGGAGGGAAGTCGGGGATGGACAGACCCCCCTCCTCCTCCTCCTCCTCCTCCTCCTCCTCCTCCTCCTCCTCCTCCTCCTCCTCCTCCTCCTCCTCCTCCTCCTCACGCCTCCTCTCCGAGGCGGCCCTTCGCTGCCGCTCTGGGGAGAAGGGGCGCTCTTGTTTTTTCCTTCTGAAAGCTGGGGCCTCGGAGGATCGGAGGTCGAGGTCTGCTGGCGGATCTTCGCGCGCCTCAGCAGACTTGCCAGGATGGACCCATGGAAGGGGGACCTGGGCTCCGATGTTCGGGGATGGACAGACCCCCCTTTGGTAAAACGTGGTTTAGTGAAAACGACCTGAGGCCCCGGGCTCTGGCCGCGATCTTGCGCGACGCTGTATATTCTTGTTCGCTACGTCAGATCTCGGGGAATGGAGTTAGCCAGCGAGCTCCCCTGTCTGCTTTCCCTTGCGCCGAAGGCGCCATTCGTGTGAGGGAAAGCCTCTCTGTCCGGGCGACCCCGGTCGCTTGGAATCGCGGATCGGGCTCTCGGGGACGGACAGACCCCCCTTTGGTAAAACGTGGTTTAGTGAAAACGACCTGAGGCCCAAACCTGGCGGGCGCAAGCCTGGAAAATAACGGCCACGGCGCCATCTCGAGAACCGAAAACGGACCATTCACCAATCGACGTGTCAGGGTGGGGGTTCTGTCCACCCCCGAGGCTCCTCGGCCCCTGCAGGCCGGAGAGCAGAATGGGTTCGCGTTGGATCTGAGCACTGCTTCGCCGACCCCCAGCCCCCCTGGCGTGGCCTTGGCCCAACTGGCCGACTTTCCCCCCAGGTGTTGGAGGCCTGGAAATGGGCACCAACACCAACACAGGGGGTTGCCTCCACAGGGGGAAGATGATCCTAGATTTAGGTGTTGGTGGTAATATTCCGGCCACCTTGAAGCCAGAATTATTACCACCATCACCGAGATCGGGATCTTCTGCCCTCGGTGGAGGCACGCCGCCGATATTGGTGTTGGTGTCAACCTCTAGGCCTGCGAAGGTGGGGAAACGTGCTGCTCCCTTCGGGTCTCGCAGGGCGCATCCCCACCGGGGCGAGTGACCTGGCGAGGCTCAGACACCATGGCCCAGTGGGGGTGGGGATTTGTGAGACGACGCTGTGAGATCGGGAGCGGAATCGAATCTTGATCAGGAGACAACTTCTGGGAGGTCTTTGTCAGAACGACTCAGGGCAGTCAAATCCGATTTGAGGGAAAAATTGCGCCGGATTAGGCCAGATTAAGCCGGATTCAGCGTGAAGAGTGATCAAGCGGGATTAGAGCCAGATTTGGCCAGTTCTCGACCAAGGATATACCAGCGCCGATTCTAAAAGTAACCTCCCTGGAGTTACATCCTAGCCAACGTAATGAACCATCTGGCTTTGATTTTGGACAGACGCCGGTCTGCAGACCAGGTCTATGCCAAGAGGCCCACTGGCAGAGCGCCAGTCACACTCGATGTGGGGATTGCGCGCTCCGAAGACGGACGGCAACTGCCGCGGTGCCAATCTCTCTGTCACTGCCTGTCCAAGCCAACACTGGAACCAAGAACGTGGAGGCAGAGAGACGGCGATGTGGCAAGCGGAACGGTCGCAGCCAGGGAGCCAGAGTCCACCACGATCTGGGCCCCTGTCTGCGAGGCGGGGACTTCTCCGCCACCACCGAATTTTAGGGTGACAAACGCAGACCCCGCCCACCGCACAGCTACCAGGAACTCTTCCTAGCGGGAGCAGTCCTCTGGAGCTCCCCCCCCCCGCGCATCGGCGCTGCATGGGCGATTGGGGGTCGATGCGTCCTCCCTGAGCCTGTACCCCCCTTAACGTTGCCACTGATCCGCATGGCTTTCGAGTCAGAACTCGGCTCTCCGGCGGCCGTTCGGGACGATCTGGACACCCCCGGAGCGCTCGCGGCGAGGCGCGGCCGCGGGAGGGCCTCCCGGGGCTGGAAAGTCGGCGAGAACGGAGGAACGCGTCGGAGAACCTCGAGTCTCGAACGAACCTCGACGCCTCCCCCCCCCCTCGCGCTGCCCCTGAATACTCTGCCCGTCCAGGTCTCCTCCTCCCAGCTGTTCAGCGAGGCGAGGCACGCGCTCATCTCCTCGCTCGGGGGGGAGGGAGCGCACGCAGGGCGCGCCGGCCGGTCGTGGGGCGTGGGGCGGGGGGGGCCATCTCGGCCGGGGGGGGGGAGGGCGAACAGGAACGAGGGGGAGGCGGTGCGGGAGTGAGGCGGGAGGGGGAGGAGAGGACACGGAGGCGGGGAAGGCTGAGGCGGACGGGAAAGAAGGGCAGGAGGAGGCGGAGAACAGGGGGGAGGCGTCGGACGGAAAGAGGAGAGGGTCGGGGGTGAAGAAGAATTGGGGGGAGGCCCGATGAAGGAGGGAGGGAGGCTGCCCGATTCAGTCGAGACCGATTGCAAAGGGCACCCGAGAAGACACGCGTCTCGTCCGACGGCAATCCGTGCTCCAGGCATGAAGAGGAAACGAAACAAGATAGGAAAGACACAGAAGGTACCCCTAAGATTAAGTCGGGCGTGTCCCCCTACAGGTGGGTCTTGGACGAAACATTTAGAAACAAATACTCCTAAATAGTAAAAAAAAATCGAAAAATAGTCCCCAGACTATTTTTGACTATTTTTGAATATTTTTGAATATTCCTCCTGTAGAGGGACGTGCCCGACTTAATTACCCCTGAGATCTGCACGATCGAATCCGACTCCGGAGCCCGCCTTGCTCAGCTGGGCGATCTCGCGGGACATCTCCTCGTCCAGATTGCGCATCTCCGTCGACCGGGACAGGGGGCTGGCCTGGACGGCGTCCTTCTCGGCACCGTCGCACTCCTCTTGGCACCGCGCGACGCCGTCGTCGTCGCAATCGCAGACGTGGACGTCGACGTCACCGTCGCCGCTGTCGTCGTCGTCCGTGATACTCGCCGTCGTCATCCGTCGTCGTCATCGTCGGAGTCTTCGGGTAGTTTTCGGCTGCTTTATGAAGTTTGACAGTTTTTGTGGGTGTTCGCAAGTAGCTCAGCGCATAAGATGGTTTGAGAAGGACTTGGGCAGTGGACGTCGTCATCCCCGCCGTCGTCATTTTCGTCCGTCGTCGTCAAGTCGTTCGTTGTTCGTCGTCCGTCGTTCGTCGTTCGCCGTTCGTCGTTCGTCGTCGTCGTCGTCGTCGTCGTCGTCGTCGTCGTCGTCGTCGTCGTCGTCGTCGTCGTCGCCGGAGTCGTCGGGGGGGCCGGGATCCCTGGGCAAGCCTCCCGGAAGCGGAGGGTGGGGACAGAGGAAGAAGGGCGGGCGGGCCCTCACCCTCCTCCACTCCCCATGCTCCCTCCTTCCAGCCCGAGCAAGCCTTCAGCATCCTCCACCCCGACGCATATCCACTGCCCCGCCTGAGAGCACCACGAGAAGGCGGCTTCTCCCGGGGGCGGCCAAGAGGGGGGCGTCCGAGAGGGGGGGGGTGCAAATCATGACCGGCGGAATGTGTGCGGCCCAGGGGTGGGGGGCTGGGGACGTAATGAAACAGGAAGCGGCGCCATGAAATCAGTTCCATCGGAAACTTACATGTCTAGCATATACGACGTTTCGGCCTTCACGGCGTCACAGACAGCTTCGTCCCCAGGGTCGGCGGCACTGGCCGTAAGGCCTTCGCAATATCAGAGCCCAAGCCATGAGATCCACCTCCCCCCTAGTCATCGCCCTCCTCTTTGCCGACCCCGATTCTCCCCACCCGCGCGAGCCCTCCGCGCCGAGCCGGCGGCGTCGGAGGCCGCGAGGCGAAAGGGAGGAGGCGCAGCGCGGGCACGGCAAAGCTGCACGAGCAGAGGAGGAGGAGGAGGAGGAGGAGGAGGAGGAGGAGGAGGAGGAGGAGGAGGAGGAGGAGGAGGAGGAGGAGGAGGAGGGGGAGGGGGAGGGGGGGGAGGAGGGGGGGGGGGGGGAGGGGGAGGGGGAGGGGGAGGGGGGGGAGGAGGGGGAGGAGGAGGAGAGGAAGGAGGAGGTGGGGCCCTCGGGGCTCGGAGGTCATCGCGGACCCCTCGGGTCGGATTCCTCGGGTCGGACTCCTCGAGCGCCCGAGCGCTCGAGCCTCGAGCGCCGGAACCTCGGCCCCTCGACCCCTCGAGCGCTCGAGCCCTCGAGCCTCGAAAACTCGAGCCTCGAAAACTCGGCCCCATCGACCCTCGAAAACTCGACCCTCGAAAACTCGACCCTCGAAAACTCGACCCTCGAGCCTCGAAAACTCGACCCTCGAAAAACTCGACCCTCGAAAACTCGACCCTCGAAAACTCGACCCTCGAAAACTCGACCCTCGAGCCTCGAAAACTCGAGCCCCACCTCGCCTCGCGGCGCGCAGAGCGCGCCCGGGGCGCGGCGCCGCACGGGGCCGCGCAGGGGAGGGGCGCGCGGCGTACGGCGCCGCGCGGACCTCCGAGGGCTGGAGCGCAGGCCCGGAGCGCCTGCTGCTCTTTGAGACCGCGGGGTCGGGCCGAGGGGGGCGGGGGGTCTGGCCCGGGCCGCGGCGCGCGGAGCGCGACCATCTTCGCGCTCGCTTTCCTGTAAAGGGAAATTAGGACACACAAATAAATACACACAAATAAAACTATCCCCCATATTTTCCCATATTTTCTGGGTTTTTGTCTTCCCCCCCACTTCCCATATTTTCCCATATTTTCTGGGAAATCGAGGATTAATTGTGTCTGTGTGTTTCTTTCCCTCCTGATCCTGGGGGGAGGCCCAGATGCTGCTGGGTCAGCCGGTTATTGCCCTGGAAACCGATCACAGGCCCTGGAGGCCGAAGTCTACGGAAAAGCGCCCAGACTTCAAAAGTTAGATCGTCGGAGGTCTGAATACTTCTTAACTTTGAACGTCGGAGACTGGGTATCTCTTACCTCTTAGGGGCAACGAGAGGAGGGGGGCAACCAAGGAGGAGGGACCATCGACCTGGAATCGGCGACACGTCGCCGATAGATCGGCGATAATTAGGCCCCTGGTCGCGAATCCGCACGTTCTTGGGCAGGGTGGGCTATCCGGCCCCTATCGGCCATGTATGGGCGATCGGGGGTCGTTGCATCCCCCCCTGAGAGCCTAATTACCCTCTTTTTTTTTCTTCGGCATGACAACTCCTGGGTTCAGAGCCTCCAGCTTGGCAGTCGGCATCGATAGGTCACCGCAGGAGAAGTCATCTCCCCTCTGGCGACATCCCAGAGGTCATCATGTGTATGTTAATTGCGCGCCGCGGGTCCACCACCTCGGAGGATACGGGCCTCGCATCGACCGAGCACTCAGCCACGAGGACGTTGACTCGTGGCAGCTAAAAAACGTGCTGATGGCTAAACTGTGCACGAATATCGGGCAACAGCTCTTGCGCTGCCACTTCTTCGAAGTAATTCGCAGAGCGCGTCTCCCAAGAACTCAGTACCCGAATGCCTCCACCGTCTTCTCGAAACACTTCACGTAATCACCCACCTTCATCATGGGATGATATGCTGCGGTCTTCCTCTCCGTGCAGTCAGGCCTCCATTTCTTGTTCTTTTTCTGGTCCTCTGGGCGATCCGCCTCGCAGGCCGCATCCAGAGTAGTGTCGAACGCCCCGCCGCGGCGCACACCCATGGCGTCCAAGCAGCTCTGAGCGAAAAGGTCCTCCCCCATCGGCCCGTACTTGCCGCCCTCCACTCCCGTCTTCCAATCCAGGACCTGCTTGCACCATTCGATGTTCGGGAACAGCGTCTGGGCGGCAGTCAGCGACATGATCTCCAAGTTCCCGAACCAACCCCACTTACAGTATTTGCAGTTCTCGAGGTAGATGCCAGGCACACCGCTCCCAGGCTCGCCCTGGGAGGCAAGGAAGGGCCTCAAGCGGCTCGGCAAGAACACCGCATCGCAATCTACCTTGACCACCCAGCTGGCGCGCTGGTAGTCTCCCGCCGCCCTGATCGCCTTCCAGACCTGTGTGTGCAAGCCTGTGTTAATCCAGGTGCCGGTCTCCTTGCGCTTGAGAATGTGGAAGTCCCCATCGGCGTCGTCCACCGCCACGAAGGGCACGCCAGGGGCCAGGTCGCCTGGCTTGTCGCTGAAAATGCCCCACTGCTCGCACGCGAAAATGCCTATCTTCCTGTCGTACGCCGCCTTCAGCAAGTTCAGCTCGTCCGGGCGCTCGGTTTTGCCGTCGCTACCAGTGTCTGCCATGTAAACGGAGAAGCAATACATCGATGTTCCAGGTGCTACGGCGTTGTCCAAGTACATCGGCTCGCCGACCTTGGGCACAGGCACCGCGCAGGCCGTCGTCTCGCTGGGCGTGCAGTTCTTCATGCACTGGGCCGAGCCAGGCGTGGTCGTCACGAAGCAGGTGAAGCCAGCCACGTCGCAGCACGCTGTATCGAAGCAGTCCCCGGACACGTCGCTGCACTTCTCCCGCGCCGGCTTTGCCAGCACCTGCAGTAACTCGCGCCTGGCCGCGGGGCCGCCCCCTGGCGAGCTGGCGCCGCCACCTGCCGCGAAGCCGCCCGCGGCGCAGGCGGCACAGGCCAGCGCCGCGCAGCCGAGGACCCTGCCGGTGCTCCAGCCAGCGGCCGGCGCGGCCGCGTCGCTGTCGCTGCTGAGTTCCATGTCTTCGCTGCGGCGGTGCGGCGCCATGCGGGCGAGATGAGGTGTGAGCTCTGGTCTGCAGCGGAAGCAAGCAGGCGTGCGCCGAGGAGACGCGATCACTGGAGCGCCACAGAGTGGTTGAGGCGCCCAAATGGCTTGAGCCAAAATGGCTACGGAGAGAGCCTAATTACCCTTCTGGTTTTCGGTCTCACAAACTTGGGCCTCCGGCGGCCGTTCGGGACGATGCGGGCCTCCCCGGAACGCGGTCGACGAGGCGCGGCCGCGGGAGGGCCTCCCGATGCTGGCAAACCCGGCGAGAGCCGACGGAAGCGCCGGAACGCCTCGAAGCTCGAAAGAACAGAGGAAGCCGTCGCCCCTGAGCTCCTCCCCCCCCCCTGACGCTGCCCCCGACGACCCCGCCCGACCCGACCGAGGGCGGGGCGCCGAGCAGCCGCCTTGACGGCCGACGGGCGGCGCCCTCGCGCGAGAGCGGGCGCACACGCGCGCGCGACTCGGGCACGCGCGGACATCGATGCGGGATCCGTGAGCCTATAGAGCGGTGGCGGCAAATCTGAAGGAGCACAACAAGGGCATGAACGTGAAAAAACCTTCGGAGGTCCAGGACATCGGTGCGGATCCAGGACGTCCGCGCGGGTTTCTTCGAAATCTAGGGGGGCCCCGCGCCGATCCAGGAGATCCGCGCGGAGCACCGATGGTTTACGTTGATGCATTTTGTGGGTGGCTTGCCGAAGGTCCGTGGGTCGGGCAAGGCACCCCCGAACCAGGAGGCCAGCGCCGCCCGATCCAGACGGAGCCAGCCGATCGCGGGTGGAAAAGGGGCCCGCCGCGGTTCCGTGCGCCCTGACGTGGGGTTTTGGGAGGGGCACGGAGCGCGACGCGCAGGACGCAGGCCCAGATCTCCGACGAGAGGCTGCTGCAGTCCAGGCAGCTGTCCCTCGACTTCGGCCCCACGGGGCCCGTCGGCGGGCCCGGGAGGGGTCGCAGCAGGGCCGCGCACTGAACACGCCTCGGCGAAAGTCTGGGACCCCGTGCTCCTGGCATGGCTGCGCTGCCTCGAGCGGTTGAGCATCGTTTCTCCGACCCCCATCCCCACCAGCGTGTGCTGGGCCCCACTTGCCGATCTACCCACGGGGATATAGGCCGCTCTCTTCGGGCCTCGAGGGATGTATCCCCAACTGGGGTGGTGATTTGATGGGGGTCTCGAATAGACGAGCGCGTTCCACTACTCGCAAAATAACTACTCGCAAATGGGCTGGATCCGCCGCGGGGGATCTACGATACATTACATCGAAAGCAGGCATGTGTTTCTGACGTTTTAGGCACTCTGCGAGTAGTGGAACGCGCTCGGTGAGGTGAAGCGATACCGAGTGGCGGCGGGCAGCGGCTGTCGCGCGGCCACCGCCCCAGGGGCGCGGGCTCCGGCACGCGCAGCGAGGCCTGGCGCACCGCTGGTGCCCGGGGGGCGGGGCGGGCTCGGGGGCACGCCGTGCCCTGAGTGGTGGGCCTGTTTTCCACCACGACCACCAGAAGTTGGAGGGGGGAAGGAGGAGGAGGAGGAGGAGGAGGACGAGGAGGAGGAGGAGGAGGACGAGGACGGAGAGGAGGAGGAGGAGGAGGAAGAGGAGGAGGAGGAAGACGAGGAGGAGGAGAAGGAGGAGGAGGAGGAGGACTCCCTCCCCCTCCAACTTATGGTGGTGGTGGTGGAAAACAAGCCCATCACTGAGATCCTGGGGTCGCCCACGTTTCGGGCCAGACGCTTTCGCCGAAGCTCTTTCGAGGTCTTGAGGTTCGAGGCTTCTTGGGACGCTCTCGCAGGTTCTCGTCGGCTTTCCAGCGCGCCCTCGGAGAGAGCGTGCGGGGGGTGCCCGGATCGTCCCGACTGGCTGCCGGAGCACCGAGCTATGACCCGCAAACTCAGGGCCCAACGACCCTGAGATCCTGGCGCCGCAACTTGTTCGAGTCGAGCGGTCTCATCTCATTTCGGGCCGCGGGACCCTCCCAGGTCGATCCGGCTCGAATAATTGCGCAGAAAGATGGGGCATGGGGCTGCCAGCCGTGATCTCTCGCGCTGCTGTAACGCTTCGCTACGTCGGACCTCCAGATGGGAGCTCTCGCGCCGGGAGGAGGGGGAGGAGGAGGAGGAGGAGGAGGAGGAGGAGGAGGAGGAGGAGGAGGAGGAGGAGGAGGAGGAGGGGGGAGGAGGAGGAGGAGGGGAGGAGGAGAGGAGGGGGGAGGAGGAGGAGGGGGAGGAGGAGGAGGAGGAGGAGGAGGGGAGGAGGAGGAGGAGGAGGAGGAGGGGGAGGAGGAGGAGGGCTGCCAGAAGTGCCCCGGGCCCACGGTGACCCCTGGATGGTCAGGAGGGCCGAGCACCCCTCACGAGGCCCAGAGGGCCCCCGGGGGCCCAGCGTGGCTCGAGGACCTGGGGGTATCTCCTCCTGCTCCTCCTCCTCCTTCTCCTCCTGCTCCTCCTCGTCCTCCTCCTCCTCCTGCTCCTCTTCCCCATCTCCTCTTTTCCCGCCTCCCCTCCTCTCCCTCCTCCTCTTCCTCCTCTTCCTCCCCTTCCTCCGCCTCCGCCTGCGCCAGGGACACCTCTGGCAGCACCCAACCAAGCGAGCGGCGAACAAGACAGCCCACCATCTGAGTATCGTCTATTCGATCCCCATCCCCAGCGGCGTGGCCTGGGCCCCTCTGGCCGATTTACCCCCCCTAAATGGGGATGTAGGTCGTTCCTTTCGGGGTTCGAGGGGTGTATCCCCAACTGGGGTGGTGGGGGTCTCGAAGGGGATGGGGATGGGGATGGGGATGGGGATCGGATAAACGATATCCGCCATCCCTCCCTTCCCACCCCCTCCCCCTCCTCCCCCCCCTCTCCGAAGCTCGCCCGCCCTCAAGAGCTTGGGGGTCCTCAAAAAGATGGTGACAAGCTGTGCACCATCAGCCACCGCAAGGCCTTGAGACTTTAGGTGAGCCCCAGGAGCTCGAGACGCCCTCGGAGAACGAGCCGAGTTCTAAACGGCTCAATCAGCGCACCGTTTCCTGACATCCGCCGATGTGATTGTTTCGACCCGCAGCCCCAAAGTCCCGACTGCTTCCGAGGGCAGTTTTCGTCCCGGATCCATGTTTGGGCCCAGATACACTCCCTGAGGGCCGACATCAAAGAAAATCGTCTGAGGTCTGGATTTGGCGACTCCCGCAAAACTGGCGTGCCCCCGCCCCCAGGCCCGCCCCCCGGTGCTGCCGCACTGTCGCCCGCCGGGTCGCAGAGCAGGTCCCCAAGCAGCTCGTCCAGCGCGGCCGACTGGTCGTCCTCTGGGGCACCCTCCGCTGGCGCGTGTGCGAACGACGGGGTCGTGTCGCGAAGACGTCGCGTTTGGCTTCCACCACCGCATGGACGATTCAACCTTACAAACGATCGGGGCTTTCCGGTATCGGCCAGCTCTGGGCCACTGGCTGCGATCAACCTGGATGCCCGCGCAGGGATCGCCGTCGAGCCGACACGGCTCGGACCCGCCCAGCCGTATTCTCATCCACGTCGTCGGAAGGAAAAGCTGAGGTAGACGAGTGCGAAGGCTATGAGAAGGAGGGAAATGGTGAGGAGGGCAATGGCAGGGAGTGTGTGAAGGAACGACAGGAAAAGGCAGAGAAAGAGGCGGAGGAAGGGGAGTTGCGTCGCCTAGAACTTTGGGCTCTTAAGAAGGCAGCCTCTCTTACTAAGCTGTGAGCTTCTACACCGCGGCATGTACGATTACGTTACGGCAGGTACGTGTTGTGCCGACTTCGGCGTTGGTGTCTGACACCGCGGCAATCGTTCAACCTTGAAGAATTGGTCGCTACCGATGCTTCAAATAGTTCAAGGTCGACCGGTTAGCTGGGTCGCCGGCGGCGATCAATATTGAAATCTGGCGAAGGGGTCGCGGGTCCACACGACGCGAACCTATACCGTAAAAAAGTTTCCAATCACGTGTGACAGCTCCATGGTCTTTCAATGAAGAGCTGTCAGAAGTTCTGGATGTCTGCGCGCGCGCACTTCCCCGTCGTCCTCATCTCGGTGGTTCGAAGATGGGGTCCTGAGAGATGCGGTCCTCGAGATCGAAGGGATCCAAGGGTGGATCCACGTCGCCAGTGTTTGAGACCCTCTTTTGTTTTTTTTTCTGGAAGACTCGTCTCGCCACGGTCGGCCGCGGCTCGGGAAGCTTGCCAGAGTGGCGATCGTGGATTGGATGATCGATCATGACACGACTGAGGTGACACGTCGTCGTCGTCGTTGTCGATCGAGGTTCGGCGCTTGAGGTTTGTGCTGCCTCCTCTTTGAGCTCTGCGTGGCCTCTGGGGATCTTCTGCTTCCTCCTCCACCTGCCTGTGCCCCTGTTCCTTCCTGCTGCCCCCTGCCGCTCCGCAGTTTCTCCGTTGCGTCTTCCTGCCGTATCATCTCTTCCCCAGCCTCACAGATGCACATCTTTTTTCAATACCACCTCCTCCAATCTACCAGCTCATCCTCCTCCTCCTGCTCATCCTCCTCAATGAACCCCTCCTGCTTCTCATACTCCATATCCGCATCGTCCGGAGTCCGAACTATGATAATACGCTACACGCTCCTACACCTTCTCCTCGACTTTGCGACATCATATATTCCTTCTCCTCCTCCTCCTCCTCCTCCTCCTCCTCCTCCTCTTACTCGGTGTCCGCCTCTGTCCCAGGCTTCCTCTCTGCTACTCTCCCTGATTCTCCTGAGTCGTCGTCCTATCTGTCATTGTCCACAGCCTGCTCCTCGTCATCTTCCTCCTGGTGCTCCCCCGAGGGACCGAGAGAGTTCATCCTGCGGCATCCTTCTTCTTCCCTCTTCCTCAAATATATGAATCCTCTTCCGCCTCAATTCCCTACACCTTCTCTCCTCCACCTCCTCCTCGTACTCCGCCCCGTCACGTTGTTGGTCATATCCCCCTTCTTGTATGTATCCCATGCTCTTCATGCGCTCTTTATCACGACCTGCCCTGGGTACGTAGTTACTGTTACTGGTGTCACGCCTTGCCCTGCTCACCTCGTCGCCACCTTCCTCACTCACCCAATCACTACACAGGGATAACATACTCGCTCAGTCAACACCCATACTCAGACCCATTCATGCACAGACCCACTCATGCTCTCATACTCATCGCGCAGCTCACTCACGGCCAGAGTCTCTCACACTCATATTCACCCACAGCGAGATTCACTCAAACGCAGGCCCACGCACACACATCCTCCAACTCGCCCGCAATCAATCTCACCAACAGACAGAACCGCTCACACTCAGATCATCCAGACCCAGACTCCATCACGTGCAGACGAATTCACACTCAGATTCGTCATCAGACGCGCCGCCGATCAGACTCACTCGCGATTAGAATCGCCGCTCCCATGCAGGCAGTCTCACCGTCTCAGGCCCAACGCTGTGCAACCAGTAGGGCACCCGAGCGCCCCGAGGGGCACACACCAAGAAGAGCTACACGGGACGGGTCGCGCCCAGCTTGCGGGGACGCCCTATGCGAAGCGCCCGTTTGGGCGCCTCGGTCTCCTCTCTCTCTCTCTCTCTCTCTTTCTTTCGGCTTCTCTCTCGGTCTTTTTTGTTCTCTCTCTCTCTCTCTTCCTGTCTCTCTCTCTCTCTCTCTCTTTCTCTCTCTCTCTCTCTCTTTCCCTCGAGCCCCATGATCACGGCGACGCAGCATGCATGGCGCGTGAACCTCCCAAACTGGAAGGTGCCAAGGGGTGTTGCGCAGGCCCGTTCTCGCCCAGGGGACGTACCAGGCGAAACGCAAAGCGTGGCGCCTCAGACTCCTTTTCATCTCGAGGGCCTCATGATCATCGCGGCGTAACGAGCATGTCGCGAAGGCCTCACAAGCAGTACCCGCACAAAGGGTGCTACATGGCCCCCCTCACGCCCACATTGCGGCAATGACTCAGGCGAAGCGCACGTTGTCTCGCCATCGCTCGGACGTCCATTCCCTGTGTTTTTTGTCGGTTGCGTGCGTGGCTTTTTTGCGCCAAGTGACCAAGGATGCTCCTCGATGGCCCTCGCCGAAGGAAAAAATGCACACGTCCGAACGATGCCAAGTTGCGGCACTTCGGACTCCTCTCTCTTCTGGGGGCACTCGACACTTCAGCCGCCCAAAGGGGGGGGGGGCGCCAGGGGGCCTGCCGCGTGCCCCTTCGCTAGGGAGCCCACAAAGGACGTACGCGCCCAGCTATGTACATGAACACGGCCCCTCGATTCGCGAGACCGGCCGCGTGATACGGACATTTGTGCAATGCGTGCTCTCGAAACCAGCGCGGATTCATGTACATGTACGTCCTTCTTTCGCTCCTGATTCGCGCCCAGCTGGCGGGGACGTGTCCAAAAGACGAGGCGAATGCTGGCGCCCCGGGCTCCTCTCTCTCCCGAGAGCCCGCAGGCACGGCAGGCAGGCCTCGCAAAAGGGGGAGCCGCCCACTGGGGGGCGGAGGCCGCGACACGGGCCCGTCCACGTCCAGGCTGCGGCTGGCGATGAAGGGGCCCTGGAACACACACACACACACACACACACACACACACACACACACACACACACACACGCACACACACACACACACACACACACACACACACATAAACACACAATCACACATAAACACACACACACACAAATAACACGATTCCCCATATATCCCCACACTTTCTGGGTTCTTATCTTCCCCCCCACTGCCCATATTCTCCCATAATGTTGTGGGAACTCGACGATTACGTGTGCCTGTGTGTGTTTTCCCCCTCCGGAAGCGAAGCGCCCGTGTTTGGGGGTCCCCGGGCAATCAAGCAGCAGGCACGGCACGTGGGCCACCAAAGGGCTCGCCGCCCAGAAGCGCTGCATGGGGGGCGATGCTTGCCCACACGGTGGGGGCATTTTCTCTCCTCGAGGGCAAAATGCCCGTGCCAAGAAATTCACACATGCAATACTGCGCTACGCACGCAAGACCGCCGCTGCGGCCGCTCGGGACAGGCGAGCCGCGGTGGGGGGATTGTTTAACTCTTCGAGCACCCGCGAGCAGGCGCGTGGTCATGCTTTCAATTCAACAAGGGGGAAGGAGGGCGAGAGGGCAAGGCACGTCTAGCGGCCGCACGATGCCCACGACCACCTTCACGAGTCGCCCTGTCGCCTGGCGCGCTCCAGGGCCGCGAGCGCCGCTCTCACAGCTTCTCGCTGTGGGTCCAGCCGCCGCGGCGAAGCACACTCCGACTCGAGCGATTCGAACATCAGGACCTGGGCCTCCAGCGCCCTCCCGAGGCGAGCGCACTCCAGATCCCGCACCATCTGCACGTCAACCTGGCTGGCGGAGCCCACGGATGCGCCGTCCGCGAACAACTCCTCGGGGCTGGCGAAGAGCTCCGCGAAATCGTCGCTGGGTCCGTGCGCCTCCGCCGCCTGCTTGCTGACGTGCGGCGCCTTGGGCACCGCTGCGCCGTGCACAGCCTCTGCCTGCTTGCCTTCGGGCTCCGCGTCGCCAGACTCGGGCTCCTCGATCGGGTCGAAGAGCTGCACGGCCTCACATGCAGTGCCCGACAGGTTGCTGGGGTGCCGAATCATCTGCACGTCAGCCTGGCTGGCGGAGCTCACGGATGCGCCGACCACGAGCATCTCTTCGAAGCTGGCGAAGAGCTCCGCGAGATCGACGCTGGGTCCGTGCGCCGCCGCCGCCTGCATGCTGAAGCGTGCCACGTTGGGCACCGCTGCGCCGTGCACAGCCTCTGCCTGCTTGCCTACGGGCTCCGCGTCGCCAGACTCGGGCACGTCGAACGGGTCGAAGAGCTCCGCGGCCTCGCATGGGGAGCCTGACAGCATGCACGGGTGCGTCTCGTCATTTACTCAATCGGGTCCCTGAAACCCAACAGCGGGGTCTGTCTCTGCTCGACAGCAACGTGCTCCACGGGGAACGCGCCGTCACCTTCGGCAGCCAGCACCGCCGCCTCCTTGCAGATCACGTTGGGCGGGTCCCTGCAGCCCAACAGCGGGTTCTGCACCTGCTCGACAGCAACGTGCTCCACCAGGAACTCGCCGCCACCTTCGGCAGCCTGCACCACCGCCTCATTGCTGATCTCGTTGGACTGCTCATATTCTATCACGTCCTCAATCGGGTCCCTGAAGTCCACCCGCGGGGTCTGCACCTGCACGACGGCAACGTGCTCCACCAGGAACGCGCCGTCGCCTTCGGCAGTATGCACCACCGCCTCCTTGCTGATCACGCTGGACGGGCCCCTGCAGCCCAACTGCGGGGTCTGCACCTGCTCGACCGCAACGT